TACAATGTATTCTTAGTAAATGTACAATGTATTAGTGTAAAGTATGCTCCTTGTCACATTAGTGCAGAAGGTAACATGAACTCAAGTTGCGGTGCAGGATCTATTTTCCTTTATATCAATTGTGTAACAGTTTTGTATAAGTGGCTTTTTGAACAAGGAATTTATGACAATACAGTGCCTTTCCAATTGGGTACCATCTAAAAATTTGAAGGTTCAATAACCTTAAAAATTAAACTGCAATATTTTTGAAACAAGAATTCTATTTGGTACTCCTCTTTGTTCCTTTTAGGCTTTTAGCTCTTCTCTCTATTTTATTCATCACATTTTTCTTGCAGATGACAACGCTGATCCTCGATCACCAAAGAGATCGTGCAATGAATCTAGGAACACAGTGGTAGAGCGCAATTTGCAGACACCTCCACCCAAGCAAAGCCAAATGGTGTCGACTAGTTTGAAAGCAAAATGCCATCCACTCGAGTCCACATTTGCAAGGTTTAGTCACCTGTTTCAGTTGTACTAGTATTTATGCATTCTACTTTTCTGTTAACTAAACAGAAGTATTGTTTTACCATTTGTCTACTTTGCAGTCCAACTGTCAGTAATCCTGTTGGTGGGAATGAAAAATGCGGTGACGTGACAATTCAGATATTCTTTTCCAAAGTATGGATCTTCTCATAATCAGAACTTCACTTCTATGATTTATCTTCTTTCCTTAAGTTTTGATTTTGACCTGCAATTTCTTCAGATTCTGAAGTTGGCTGCTGTTAGAATAAGAAACTTGTGTGAAAGGGTTCAACATGTGGAACTGACAGAGCGTGTCTATAATGTCTTCAATCAGATTCTTGATCAACAGACAACATTATTTTTTAATAGACACATCGATCAACTTATCCTTTGCTGTCTTTATGGTGTTGCAAAGGTATCATTTACACTATTTAATGAGCTTCCTGTCATTATTTCCCTTTTATCTAGGCTGGCTGACCAATGCCTTCTCTGACAGGCTTGTAAAGTAGAACTCTCATTCAAGGAGTTACTCAACTATTACAGAAAAGAAGCACAATGCAAACCAGAAGTTTTTCAAAATATCTATTTGGGGAGTAGGAATCGTAATGACGTATGTACCTTGGCTTCTATATTGCACCTTTATTCTGACAGTTCTTTCTTCATTCTTCAGGTGCTCCTTATTGCTTGTTTTTCTGAAAGTTATTTGCTATCAACAGGTATTAGTATCACGCCATGTTGATATCATTACTTTTTACAATGAGGTGTTTGTTCCAGCAGCCAAGCCTTTCCTGGTGTCACTAATATCATCTGGTACTCGTCCAGAAGACAAGAAGAATGCTAGTGGTATATGCTATACCCACTTTCTCAGTTTGAACTGTTATTTCTTTTCCTATGTGTCAATGATGTCATTACTCTTGCTTAGGCCAAATTCCTGGATCTCCCAAGCCATCCCCTTTCCCAAATTTACCAGATTTGTCCCCGAAGAAAGTTTCAGCGTCTCATAATGTATATGTGTCTCCTTTGCGGCAAACCAAGGTTTTTTTTCTCATTCTTCGCTTTACTTTCTACAGCACACTAATGTGTCAACAACAGCATCAATGACAAAGCCGTTGAGTCCCAAGTGTGGGGCAGGCTAGAGGTTAAGTCTCACAAGAGCCATAACACAGTAGTGTATCGTGTTGATGAGAGAATTTTTCTAGGCCACTCCTTACATTTCATTAAATGCTGGGAATAATTCTTAAGAATTGAGATGGAGATTACCTAAGTTCCTTAGGGTTGGCATACCTTTCAATACTACAGCTTGTTGTCACCACATTTCATTTTATTGTAAGTTATTTTAAGACTAGTCAATGCTGCTATGAGGGTGGGTGGTACTGCTTCCGCCTTACTGTCCACTTCATATCATAATAGTAATGCTGTCGAATCATTAGCACTTATCTCTTTACTGCATATATAACACATTCCTCTATGCCACTTGTCAGATGGATTTACTTCTGTCACCAAGTTCCAGAAGTTTTTATGCATGCATTGGTGAAGGCACCCATGCTTATCAGAGCCCATCTAAAGATTTGGCTGCTATAAATAGCCGCCTAAATTAGTATGAATCTCAAAATGACACTTTCTTTTCTACGACATGGTTTCATGTCTACAACACTAATTTATACCACTCTGTTTCTTGTTAAATTTGCAGTAGCGGCCGGAGAGTAAACAGTCGATTAAACTTCGACATGGTGAGCGACTCAGTGGTAGCTGGTAGTCTGGGCCAGTCAAATGGTGGTTCTACCTCCTTGGATCCTGCAGCTGCATTTAGCCCCCTTTCAAAGAAGAGAGAGCCAGATACTTGATCAAATATAAATGGCGACTGTCGTATATAGCTCACAGCTCCATGCTCCATAGCAGTCTATTCTTCTGAATAAGTGGGTTAATTGGAGTGATTTAACTGTACATGTATGTGTTGGTGAGAAGCAGCAGTTTATAGGCAGCAAACTGTTTCAAGTTAGCTTTGAGGTTGTATCGACATTTCCCTGCTAATTGAACATATTAGATTGTAACATCCGCTGTGTAGAATGCTAATGAATCTTTAGTTTTCAGTGGGTTGACATAATAAATCCTTATCCTAGTTGGCTGGTTGTTGGGAGACATTCATGATTCATCAGGGTTATATTTGGTTGTCAAATAGTACTGTACTTAATTCATATCTTTCATATTTTTCACTAGCATTGGCAACCCCAAATTGCTTTCCTGACTAGGCTCATATTCTTCACAGGTATAAGCATGCGAACTCTAAACTATTTGAATCCTTTTATATATTCTAATTTTTAATTACTTTCTCTGTTTCTGCTACTTTTGTACTGTGTATTTCCAGCTTCTCCATCAGACTGATGGTTCCCTATTCAGTATGCTGCAGGTGATTTGACATATGTGGCTTATCCTTCAGGTATGTCTCATGTTGACTTCATTGCTTTTGTAATGGTACTGTTGACTTCATTGCTGGTTAGAATCAACCTTTACTGCTTTATATTGTTCTACTATTTTTGGCTTGCACAGCCAGGATGATTGGTTTTCTGCATCAATCAATCCTTTTCTCAGGACACAAGATAATTCTTGTATGCTACACTTCCCAAATTGCAATTAGTTCAGAAGTCTACCTTCTTTCATTCAGTTAGTTCTCAGCAACACTGAATGGGTATGAATCAGTCGTTCCAATAGATGTTCATCTGTTTATTCCAAACAATCTGACATCACATCTCTTTCTGCAGGTGAGATAAGGAAAACCTGAAACACTATCACCATTTAAAACATTGGCTCCTGGAAGTTCAGGTGATTAGCAAAGCTCCTTCATCTACATCTGACATTGGCATGTATGGTAGAGTCCAGCAACTCCTGTGATGGCAGGAGTCGTTCTTAAACAGCAGCTGCTCCTTCAGTTTGTTCAGCGCTTCTCATATCTGATTGTATTGACCGAGAGCATCCACCTTGCCTTCTGGTACCAACTGAATGAGCTGCTGACGCCGACTCATCTGCATAATGGCAGATTAGGTGTGGCTGTATAATGAGATGCTTACCCATCTTTACGAGCTCAGGCCCTGCAAATGTGAAGGCCCTGCAAGCACTTTCCAGGCTACACCAATCCTGCTTGCTTCTTGAAGATCCATTTTTCCTATGTTGCCACCTAAATAAAAGCCATTTCTGGCTGTTGTTATGTCTATCCTTGACATATCAATAGATTAGTGTTGGGTTGCAGTCATGCGGTGTTTAAGTCTCTGAGAAGGCGAGAAGTCATTGCTGCCAGCATTGTGATCGTCAGGCACAAAAGTACTCAAAAGTGAGAGCGACTTGTTGCCAGCAAATGGAGAAGGGCGATATAGGTTGATAATCAAATTCAGTTCTCTGTATACAAGCCGCAGATTTTGTTTAGAGTTAGCTTTTGAGATTCATCATTTCATTCTTCTGAGATTCATCATTCATTTCACAGATTCTGTGTTGTAACTCCTGAATACGAGTAGAAATTAGAATGCTAACTGACCTTAATTTTCACCAAATAATTTGCTACCATTTTCAGTATGAAGTCCTTGTCCTAAATTTTGGAATGTATCTGTCATGGGTATATTTTGTCTTAAATACTTGTCCTGCTGGTTTTATAGCATTTGATTTTTACATATTTTTAGTTTTGTACTAGCATTTTCTCTACCAAATCATATTTCTTGCTTTTGGAATGTGTTCCGGTTTTATAGCACTTGTCAGTTGTCACTGAATAGTGCATTGGATTCATGTGCTTCTAAATTTCCTCTTGTGCTTACTTTCTCTAATGCTCCTTTAGTACTGTATTCCTCCACTTGTTCATGGGACTAATGGTTCCATATTCAGCGCACTGCCGTGATTTGACAGACGAAGCTTCTCCATCAGTTATGACACTCATGCCCCCTGCCGTTTTTGGGACGAGTATGCATTTTGTATGTCACATGTTTAAGGAAATTACTTTTGCGATGAACAAATGTTGAACTGTGATCCCATTGCCTGGGCCATTTAATTCATTGTCATCACAAAGAGTGCTGAGTTCAGTATGCACATCGTTTTGCTGGCACTGAGCTATTTTGTATTGCCCTGCGCATCCAGAGCAACCTATTTTCTTTTCTCCACCATTCAGTTGTGTTCTCAGGACACTGCATAATAATTCTTATAGGCTTCAAGAACATGGTACAGTTTTCAAAATTGTTTTTCATTCATATAATAAGGATAAAAAAATTCACAAATAGAACTTTAAATTTGTTAGCTTGTTTCTTCCAATTAGTTCTCAGCAACATGAAACGGTTATGTAAACACTAGAATTTGTTCTGGTGATTCCGCAAGGTTCTGACATTGCAACTCTGTGTGCGGGTGAGATTTGAAGCCTGAAACACTGAACCCATCATCGACGTCTGAACCATTTGGCCCCTGGAACTTCAGATGACGACGAGGAAAGCCGCTGGCTACCTGCCATTGGCGTGAGATCAGCATCAGCACAGCGCTACCGCCCCTTCGGCGGCAGCCGGCATCACCATGTACAGGCTCGACGAGTCCACCAGCTCTGGCGATGGCAGAGGCCTGAATTCGTTGCTGTCGAACTGCAGCTGCTCCTTGAGCTTGTCCAGAACTTCCCGCATCCAGTCATACCGACACAGACTGTACGCCTCCAAAACGGGTACCTGAACATGTATGTGCAAGAACTGCATGAGCTGCTGCTGTGAGATCAAAATCTGCGAAATGGCGAGCTGCTAGTTGTTGCAGCAGAATGACATGCATGCATGCTCACCCATCTCCTGCCATGGGTGACCTGCTCAGGCCAGATCTCCAGCAGCTCTGTGACTTGCAGTCCGAACATGAAGCCCTTGCAAGCCCCTTGCAGACCACAGCTGTTCTGTTTGCTCTTGCTCTTGAAGATCCATTCTCCCAGCGGCGTCGCCTGAACGAAAGCCATATTTTTCAGCTGTTAGCTATTTATTTATGTACTGACAATCCACCCCATGATTTTTCAGTCGTTAAATAAAATACTCAAAAGTAAGAACAATGCTCCTTATTGCCAAGGAATCGATCAAGGAATTTTTTTTTACCAAAAAAATATAATCTATTGATTCTCCCATGCTCTCGTTTATTAGTTATTATATCTCTCATTCTCTGAAGTACATGTGAAGTACTGCTGGCAATAATGCTGATTATCCCCCATGTCAGCACATGAAACTCATGAGCACGGATTAAGCATGATGGTGGCCGTGCAGCATATGGGCCGGGGTTGTTGGCCACAGTACCTAACCATTGCCCATTCGTGCATTTGTTCCTACTGGATGTAGCAAAGAAAACTACAATTTTGGCCATGCTCATCATGCTGAGCATCTTAATTTTTCAATGGTTTGAAATCTTACATCTCACACTTGAATAGTTGATGAAGCGTGCATCACGTTTTTTCCTTCACCAAAAAGAATTTTTCCTTGCTACAAAACACCATTAAAGAGGTATAAGCGTGTAGCTAGCTAGCAATATATATGGCCTATGAGCTACATATATATAGAGGAGCACTAGCTTGAGGCACTTCTCTTAGGTGCTAGCCACTTAATTTTTTTTGAGGAAAGCTAGCCACTTAAAATTGACCGTTCTATCGCGCCCATCATATAGCAAAATGACACGCATGAAAATGACCGGAAACATCCTATCCTACTAGTCTACTACCATGCATATCTAATCTGATGCTCTAGAAAGGCAACAACAAAAATCCAAACATGCCACGGCACTAAGCCAACAGACTCCCCTATCATGCATGATGCAAGCATAGATAAAATATATATTATTATGATCTACTAATCCACCAGCTAATAGTATAATAGTATACACTAATAAATAAACCGGGAAACATTGCCACGTCAAGAATAGGTGATCAAGCTAGGCACCCACGCTGATAATGCCCTTGACGCCTGCTTCCTCGAAGGCCTCCCTGCACGCAGCTTCGTCGATGCTCTCGTCGTCCTCCCATCCACCCTGCAGCAACATCAGACACCAGCCAACGCACATGATGTTACATATCACAAATAAAAACTTTTCATTTGCTCCTGATCTGATGAGAGCTTATATTCAGCATCATATACATAATTGAGCAATTGTACATATTCTTTACATGCATGATTGATTAAAGGGCGCGTATGGTATGGGCATCTGATCTTGCTGTCTCACCTTTGGGAAGATGAGATCGCTTCGCTTGGGCGTCGAGATCATGAGCACTTGCAGCCTGCCTAGCACGTCCTGCTGGCAGCTTTTCTCCCCAACATCCTCCTCGAGCATGTAAGGAACGCATCTGGTATAGGAATCAAGAACATATATACATGATTAACTAATGTAACAGGAGTACTATTTCATTGAATATATAAAGAGAAGTCCTTGCTAATTACTATGTATAATGTTATTGTGCATCATCGTCTACTCATTTTGGATCCAGCACTACACCTTCGGTAGCAAGTGAAAGGCTATATAACTACATGTTCTTTCCTGTTCTTAAACTGTCCAATTGTGATTTTATATGACCCTGTGAGTATTGGAGAGATTTTTATATATTTATACCTTCTTGTCAAATTGCTAATCAAATATGCATGTAGACCATGATATGCTTAATGAACAAGGTGTGCGTGCGTGGTGTTTATAGCAAACTAGTTAATAGGTACCCTGAGACAAGGCGGTAGCATCCTTCGTAGCGCTGCCGGAGGCGCCCCTGCCTCGCGCAAACCATGGTGGGCGTTGGCGGCGATGGCGACGATGATGCAGGAGGCGCCATCTTCTCTCTTCTCCACAGGAACAATCTCCTTGTTAGCTGAACAAGAACCTACGCAAACAACTACAAATCCAGGTCACAACCTATTCATGCACACATGTACATCGTCAAAACAAAACCTCCAAGTTAACATATATATATATATAGGCAGATATGTATCTATACAGATTAGTAAGCTCACCTCAAGAAGACAAATCCAAGAGCGATTCAACCTCTCTCTCGTCACACCCAGAGCCTGCAGAGAATGGTATCCTTGCTGATGATGATGCCACAAGCTTCTCCCAGCTGCATGCCACTGACCCAAAGAATCTCTCCCTTTACATTAGTCCACTGGCCCTGATGCAATTGGATGGAGGCTCTAGATTTGGGAGATATATGGCTGCAAGATAAGCCCAAATGGCCGGAGGATCGGACAGACTGATGACCGGAACCCAATTCTTCTGGAATCTAATCCTTCTATCTGCTGCCTGTGCTGCCTAGACCTTAATTTATATAGCTAGCTAGATACCAGCTAGAGCTTTGGAATTGAGCCGATAGGGGATTATATACAAAGTACCCAGAGGTGGGCCTTTCTTCTTGATTCTACTGGTTCTTGGACCTATTTATAAGGAGAAGATGTAGGGCGTAATATGCGTTGAACTCCCTTGGTTTCTGTCTAATCTCGGATGAATCCCTGCTTTTTCTTGTGTTTCCTCAGCTGGTCAATGGGTTGCTAGGTTTTTTTCTTATTGTGTCAACCAAACCGTGTTACTAGGAAACCGCCAATATGGACGAAGGATAGATCTTGGTCATACATGTTGTCTGTTGGAGTTTATTTACGGATCTGTTTGCACCTAGAACATCCGATCCATTTCCTTTGGCCGTTGCAACTAATTCTCTTATTATAAACAGAGAACGAATAATGAATATAATGACCTTTGTTTCCACTGAACTACCCACACACTGTTTGTACATTAATGTGTATGCTGAGTTACCTACCCAAGTACGTAGAGCGTTACTTTACAACTCTGAGGTTTATTTTTTTCGATAAAAGAATCTTTTATTATGTTTCAAGATCATTACATCGAGTTGATACAATCAACTGAGGTTTGTTTTGACATGACTTCCGTACGGAAGTGTTTATTTAGTTTCTAAAACAAAAGAAAAGAAGTCACAGGCTCCCCAAACCGGCCTGTATGTAGCAGGGTGCTCAGTTTAATGGAATCTAATTATTTCATTTGGTGGATTCATAATTTGATATGCACCAATTTGGAGGAAAACAAAATAGACTAAAATATGCAGTGGTCTTATACATGCAAGTCATCAGCAAGTCATTTTCTAAGCAAACAGGTCCACTATTCTCTGCTGTAACTTTCGACAAGTACTAGTCATATGCATGCCAAGTGCGTTGCTAGTGAAGTGAAATATTTTATCTTTGATGTAAATAAATTTAGTGGAGGAGGAAACTACTCGACACCTTCCTCCACCCCATTTTCTCTTTTACCAAGCTAGCCACCAAGAAGTTGCAGGTTATATTTAAACTCGGTTGTGCTCTCTGATCCCCTTCATATTCTACTATTCACGGACCATTAGCTCCCCACTAAGTTCAAGAGATGGATGACCAGGTTGCTTCCTTGCCTCATATCAACCCTGAATGTAAAAAAAAAAAAATGGAGGGTCCATGTCTACATATAACGTGACAAGAACACGCACATTGTGCTAATCAGATTGCGTGATCCCTTGGACCAAAATATAGTTAAGTTTGTATGGGATTGTCTTTCCCCAGACCATTGTTCTAAAACACTACTATCATATAACATATCTGAACCGTTCTATTTCAAAATAATATGTTTATGTACTGTTGGTCAAAGTGTCATACTGAAGACCATGTATGCAGTCAATACTCGATACTCTAATACTAATATCTACGGTTAATTATAACTCTATGTCTAGGGGTTAAAAATACTTAATTTAAAACCACATTGGCCTGATTGAGAGATTTTTGGCTAGATGGCTATGATCACCTGCCATTTTTGAGCAACCTCAAACTAAGAGCCACAGGTCCTCGTTTCTAATTAAGGCCCTCTGTTTGGTACGGTTTCTAATAGCTCTGGCTCTTTGACATAGTATATACTCTGGGGAGGAGTTAGAGCTCATGAAGTCAAAAATAATAGTTTTATTAGCTTCTCATGCTAGTTCATTTTGAGAGGAGAGAGAAAAATAGTTCTTCACCACATTGCACTACCGTGCACGGAGGAGCGAGCCAGAGTTGCTCGGACCTACCTAGATGAGAGGCATCATGATAATAAATTTAAACGCCACATTGCCACAAGAGGATCCACGCCTAGGTTTGAGTACATATGTTTGGGGGTAAATGCTGCAAGCTAGTAGATATAATTCGTGTTCGCTTGTCTTATAATCCGTACTTTTCAGCTTGTTTTTTTTAACCAGAATAGTGTTTTTCTCTCACGACAAATCAGCTGGAACAATATTTCGACTTATTTTTCAACGAAGCAAACGGGGCCATAGATCTTCTCAAACCAACATCCACATCCATATATGTGCTGAGGCCATCTTTTCAGGGAACCAGCGCTGGCTCTCCCTCTCCAGGAGAACAAGAGACGGAGACGCAAGTCACAATGTACAAATTAAGAGGATCCACCAGGATCGATCGATCGAGTTGGTGCCTGCTGCAACTTTGGCCACTGCTAGGCAAAACGGCAGTTCTTTTGACGGCTTCTGGCTGCTGGTCCATGTCCATCCACTAATCCGTCTGCACCCTCACTTGTCCTCTCGTGGTGTGTGTATGCTTTGACTGCCCAAAAAATTGTCCTGGAACGGACAGAGGATAGGCTTGGTGAGAAATTTCGCGCGGCAGACCGGTTCAACCCAAAAACCCATGATGTGCACGGCTCTCGATCTCCGGGTGGATCCGTTGCAGCACATGGACAGGAAAAGGACACCGAGTTCCTGCCTCTTCTTTGTCGCACTTACAGCAGGAAAGGGACACATTAGGGCAGTCCCAATGGTATATTGATGATGGTTTCTATCTTCATTAAATGATTTGCCACGTAGGTAAAACGTTGATATGGCAACGTAATTAATGAAGAAAGAGAGCAAAAATCATAGAAATGGTTTCCTCACGAAGAAATCAGGTCTACTCTTGACCCAATGCACCAAGAAACCATAAAATCGCCATTGGGGAGAAATCACCAGTTTCTAGGAAGCTCATGTCGCACTCCCATTGGAGGAAGAAGATAGAGTTGGGAGAGAGAAAGAGAAAATAATTATTACTCATAGAAACCATGAGTTGAAAAACAGTACGTTTTTTGTGCGGCATCCTATGTTATAGAAACTACTAGTTTTTTTTATTGGGACTGCTCTTAGGGGTCTAACAGTGTAGCCTTTTATTACGAATGTTCACTTAATATGAGAGGCATCATGATAAATATGAGTTAAAATGCATAAGTTCTCTCAACTCCTCGATGTTCTGGTGGCCTTGTTGTGCCCAAACGGGCTTATTATTATTATCTGCTTTAAATAGCAGCAGGACCAAGAAGTCTCTGGTCTAAAAAGACTTCTCACACTTCCTCGTGGGGCCGGGGCTGCTGTTCTCATAAAAGTCTTTAGAGTAAACTATACAGGAGGTCTATTAATTTTTGTTGGGGTGCCATCTAGATCCATCAACTTTAAAACTGTATTTTTAGGTCCATAAACTTTTAAAATAGTTCACTGCAGGTCCATACTCATTTATTTAATCTTAAATCCAACGTACATTTACTGAAAACACCCTACCTTTCTTTATCTTCTACGCGTTCACCCTTTCTGCTCAATGGTCAACGCCGCTCAGTCCGGCCGAGCCGTCGGCGACGACCGCGCCTTCGCGCGTGCGTTCTGCTTCGGCGAGCGTCGCGGGTCCTCCCCCAGCGACTGCTTGAAATGCCTTGCCGCTGCCGTCAAGGACGTCGCCGACGGATGCCACGGACGCTGCTGGCGGTCTGGCACGCCGGTTGCTTCTGTCGTCTGACGCGGACACCAACGCTTCCACGGCCAGCGAGGGCGTGTGCGGCGCTGGTTCTTCTGACGACGACACGCGACGATCAATGGCGCGTCGCGTGGCTATCCGGGACTTGCCCGGCTGAAGAGCGGCTCGTTTGCGGGTAGCGATGATGACACGCCGCGGCTCACACTACGCCCGTCGTCGTCATCGCTTTGCGGTGCCGAACACCACCGTCAGCCGCGCGCTCCTCCGGCGTGCCCAGCCCGATGGTCACCAAGTAGTTTCCCGTGCCCAGGTCGAGACCGGACGCCACCGCCCCGGAAGGTTCGCTGACTTGGCGCCAGACGTCAGCGAACACTGGGTACGGCCGGGCTTAGGGCCTGTTTAGTTGCCAAAAATTTTTGCGCAGTACCTATCACATCGAATCTTGCGGCACATGCATGGAGTACTAAATGTAGACGAAAAAAAACTAATTGCACAATTGCACAAGAAATCGCGAGACGAAACTTTCGAACCTAATTAGTCCATAATTAGACACTAATTGCCAAATATAAACAAAAGTACTACAGTAGCCAAAACCTAAAAAATTTTGGATCTAAACGCACCCTTAGTTGGGGGAAAAAAATTGCATGCGGTCCATCCGCATGCAGCATCGTGCGGACTCTAGAGCTATTCCGGCCAGTGGACCTGCTAATCTGACAAGCACCGTGTGTTAGCTCCTAATTTTTTTTCCACGTGGTGCAAATTGGTTGGACGTCCGTACGTTGCCGGGTGCGGTCGGTCTCCACTTAATTTTTTTCCGTAGTTGGGCTGTGGAATGTTGCCTGACAATTCTCTCACGGCCCAGATGAACTAATTAAGCTGTTGGGTGAAGATACTCATGTGTTGATTCTATTCCATTGCTGGCAACCTGCATGATTCACAGCGGCCACCTCATGCAGCAGCTGGATTAAACTGGCGGGCTATGCGGATGCAACACAGTATCCCGCCTATTTCAAAGAGCAGTACCCCAACCACGTCCAAGACACCCAAGGCTGCAGAGTGCAGAGACAAAAAGTTCCATCATCATCACACTAATGTCAGTTTCTAAGGACAGGAAAGATATGGAAAGAGAGGGGAAGAGAGAACTGGTGAGCTCACGGTAGTTCACCCACACCGGTCACCGTATCTTTGGAGGGGATAACGGGACGCGCAGGTAGCAGGAGTAGCCGACGACCACCACCACGTCGCCGTGGACAACGACAGCTGCCTCCCTTCCTTCAGCGCTGGAACCACTTGCGCCGACTCGTTCACTCCGCCGCGGTCCCGGATAGCCACGCACGTCCCCAGCGCCGCGGTCAGCGTGTCGTCGCTGTCGTCGTCGTAGAACCAGCCGCACCACGCGTCCTCGCGGGCCGTGGACGCGTTGGTGTCCGCGTACGACAGGAAGTAGCCGGCGCGCCAGACCGCCCCGCGGCGTCCGTGGCATCCGTCGGCGACGTCCTGGGCAGCAGCGGCAAGGCATTTCAAGCAGTCGCTGGCGGAGGACCCGCGACGCTCGCCGAAGCAGAACGCGCGCGATGGCGCGGTCGTCGCCGACGGCTCGACCGGACTGAGCGGCATTGACCGTTGAGCAGGAAGGGTGAGCGTGTAGAAGATAAAGAAAGGTAAGGGGTTTTCTGCAAATGTACGTTGGATTTAAGACTAAATAAATGAGTATGGACCTGCAGTGAATCATTTTTAGGCCTCGTTCGGCTTGTTGAAACTTGGCTGAAACTGGCTGAAAAACACTGTTCTGGCTGAATGGTTGTGAGAGAAAAACACTGTTCCGGCTGAAAAAAGAAGCCGAACAAGCCGGTTTCTGGGTAAGCCGAACAAGGCCTTAAAAGTTCATTGACCTAAAAATACAGTTTCAAAATTAATGGACCTAAATGACATCCAAAAAAGTTAATGAGCCTCCGATGTATTTTACTCAAGTCTTTATATATGTCTTTCGAGTCATCGTTATATAGGGATCACTTTTCAATGTGGTGGCGATATGATTCTTACGTACTAGTCCCTCGACCTGTGCTGCCGCACGGGCTAAGAGTTATAAGCATTTGAAATTTGTATAAAAATTTTAGGTTCCACAACTTTACCTTCTCTCAAGTTGGACATATTCAAACACAATGCTCGTCTATATGTATGGATCCAATTGTGATAGACTTTATTTAATAAGATGTATATAATTTTCCATCCCAATATATGGTTGCCGACTTTGTATCGTATCTCCATACATGTGACATATGTTTAGTTGTCAATATTTTAATATGAAACTGATTATTTTATTTTATTTTATTTTTCTTTATCTTGTTGTGGTAGGCTTTAATACAATTACTCTATCCACTTTTCCATCCCCATTCATATTGCATCACAACTCCTGACCTCCAAGTGTGTTTGGCATCGTCTGTGTTTAGTTGATGTCTCTCATGTTTCCATATTCTTAAAAATACTCGTATAAATATTTTCTTATTAGTAGTCGCTAGTTACAGACTTTTGTTACAGATTACTCTATATGCTTTTCCAAACCTACTCATACATATTCGCTCGTTGGTTTCAGTCAGCCCAAACCAGCCAGCCAACCGTGTTTCTCTCTCACAAAAAATCAGCACCAGCCAGCCCAAACCAGCACCAGCACCACTAGCGAACAGGCCCTCACATTTGCACTGTACATTCATATGTGCTTGATCTGTGTTTAGATGAAACCTCAATTATGTATTTAGTTTTGGAAATCGGCATACTCGTCGCTTTATGCACATAGGTATATGTATAGGGACAAATGCCATGCATGCGCTAGTTGTTTTTTTCTATATTAACAATGACGCAAGTGAATAATTCAGAATGGTTTTAATAGTATTTTTGGAATTTTTTTGTAATATGATAGATGTAGATAGTTTAGATTTAGGGATTACTTTACATTATCTATGTTTAATAATATAATGTAGGTGGGTAATCTATAAATGCAAATTTAGGGGTTACTTTATATTATTTTTTCCTAATCACATACTCGGTGTATCCCAAAATAAGTCTCCATCTCACATTTTGATGACTCATCCAATCTCAACTTTTGATCAAATATATATATATAGAAAAGTACTGATATTTATGATACCAAATATTTAGATGAGTATTTGGGGTGCTACTTTAGGATACTTTTACATAATGGTAGGGGTGATAATTTGGGTTAAGATTTAGTAGTTAGTTTAGACTATTTTTTAAAATGCAGAAATTTATATCTTTATATATATCTAATGACTATTATTGTCAATGATAATCATATTCTACCAAATACGTCTAACATAAATAACTTGGGAAAAACACTTCATTCTTGTGCATTGTTTTGTTTGACAAAATTCATCTACTACAGTACGTAGTTAACTAAGGTTTTAGATTTCCTTAAAATGCCATATTGGTGCTTTTCCTCAATACAGAAACGAATAGTGTATTAGTCCTTTTTTTATGTTTCTTGGTGATTGTCAGCCGGATAGCACGTGCAATGAATGCTATGAAAATTTTTGCTTGGGTTCTCATATAGGTAAACTGGATAATTTGTGTTTAAATTACATAGCTATGGACTAAATGATGCTGGAAAGGACATTTGCATTTAGAGTTGAGCTCTGACCTGTATTGAGTCATGACGTGGCATCACCCAACAACACCTTAGAGCACACCGAAACACTTTGTCGCCGGACTACTTGTCGGTGTTTGGTAAACCGGACTAGTAAATTTATAAGATTGCCGCGCTGCTATAGGAAGACGATGGTAGCATCAAAAGATACGAGGATTTATACTGGTTCAGGCCGGAGCCCTACATCCGGTCTCAGAGATGATCGAGTGCATGTTCCTCGCTTGAATGCTCTGGAGTTCTTACAATGGGGGGTGCAAGAATGGTCGACGAGGTAGGGGACATAAAGCTAGGAGACGGGCTGTCCGAAGGGAAGCTTCAGGAGCCCTTCTACGGTGTAAGAATGAGTGAATGAGAGTTGGATCCCTAGACAGGTGCCCTGACTGTCCTTATATAGAGCTCAGGACCAGGGCTTGTACAAAGAAGTAGGTTCTCCCGACCGAAGGGTCATGAGCCTGAGGGGGGCCTAGCTAACTTGGCTTGCAAGCTACGCCGTCTTGTGGTGCACGTCTGGGCGTGGGTGTCGTCATGGTCTTGTGGCCACGTCACAGCATGGTGTGGCGTGGTGCTACTGTGTCGGTCGTGGCGGCACTGTAGGCACGGTGGTGAGTCGCCAGCCGTCCTATGCGACGTGGTCCTCGCCGTGGTCTTCGTCATCACCTCCTGGTTTCCGGGGACGTCGTATAGGAGTTGGTAGCTGCCCCGGGTCGTCGATCGCCTTATTAGTTTGACGGGCTGAGGGAAATGATCTCGATCATTGGGGTCGTGGCTCCTTCCAGGTTGGATGGGCTCTAAGTCAAGGCCTTCGTTATGGATCCCATCCCATAGTGGGTACAGTCGTACATGTGTCTTGTTGGGCCATATCTGGCCTATGGTTATCGTACCGGTCGTCACCGCCTTTGGTGATGTTGTCTTGTCTGTGCTGCGTGGCGCAAGGATGGTGTCTGACCGGACCGAGGTGACCGCTGCCCCCTTAGCCTTTGCGGGGTCAGAGTGGCGTGCCTATCATTGTCAGGATAGGCATGCCTAAGTCTCTCTTGACCTCTCCCATTCCTCCCAGGGGTGACTCATTGGCCAATCTCAACCCGGTATTCTTGGATTAGCAAATATCATATATATTGTGGGCCGCGTGGCCCACTAACTAATCAGTGCCTTAAGATACCCCAGGGCTATAACTCCAACAGTAGCCCCCAAGCATTTTTGCCATCACAAAGTGATCGTAGAAGCACTGAGATGCGTGTGCGTTTGTGCGCGGGTTCATAGTCGTGGCCTGCTCGAGCTTCATCGCTCAACCCTTCGTGGGCTGGTGCGTTCAATGCGGTAGGTGGCCGCTACGTTTGGCCTTGTCAGGACACCCTGAGGACATGGTACACGACTGCTAAGCCCTACCGTGTCAGTGTGCCATGTTTCGGGGTTCGTGACCTAGGTGGGGCCGAGTGTTCTCGTTGACGCTATACTGGCCCGGCCTTTGGGCCGACCTCGCTCGGGCATCTGACTTTGGCTGTGACATCTATGGCTCGCCATGCAGCGTGGAGGTTTCAGGCTGCTCAATCCCGACTATTATAAATGAGGCCTCATGGTTTGAACCACTCATGGCTGCAACTATCCTCTATTTCCCTAAATGGCTAGATCTAAGAGAAATAAAAAGTTGGGAGAACTACGCACTTGTTATACATCCCACTAGGGGTGTGATGGCAATGTGTTTCAACAGCTGGTGCTAGAAGGGAATTTGACAAAGATGCAGTGAATCTCTCCATGATCATGCAGCCTTGATTTTACACAGTTCCCCATGATGGCCGTTGATCGGGGAAGGTTAAGCCCCCACTTGCCGCGCATAGCCATCGTTGTGCTTAGAGAGAACGTCCATCGCTCCCTAGCCACTAAATGATGGACCTAGGGCATCATTCATCACTATGCCCTGTCGCGGCATCATGACGACACAGCGAGATGTTCTGCGCTGGGGGCCATTTCACCTTCCTCTCCTCCCTGCGTTCTTCAGTTTCGGGGGGTCGTGATGCTATGAGGGAGCCTTCAAGGTGTTATGTTTCACCTTGTCCGATCGTGCTCACAGTTTGTACCCCCGGCGGCATCGTCCTCGAGGTGGGTTCAGGCTTTTCTCTTTTTTGCCTTCACGGCTTGGTTGCGCGTGTAATGCCCATACCACGGAATGTAATATTCAAATTTTATATTCTTCCCTCGAGGTCGTGCCGAGCCCCTAGGCCACGAGGTTCGGTTATGGGGCTTTGTTACCAAGGTTGATACTTCCGTGTGTGTTGCCGACCTCCATTCCTGCGAAATGGGGAGGCCGTCCTCAACTCAAGAGTCTTTACCTCATTTGTGCTTTGACTATGTTGGGCCAAAGGCCCCTCGTCTACCGATGGGTTGTAGTGTCATTTTTGAGCAGCTGGAAAGATCGTGAGGTGTATCCCCTAGCCAAAGTTGTCAGCTCAAGTGGACCCGCATGTCCATGCTGGATCATGGTTGGTTGTTTCATGACGTGCCTCGAGAAGAGGGCATCACCGTGAGCCCCGAATCAACACCGTTGTTGATCCACAATGAGGTCTCTGTTGGTTTTAGGTCGTGGATCTGGGATCCCAAAAGGGGCTTGTCATGGGGATTCCGCCCTGCTTATTTCAGGATCCTTGGCTGCCTCGAGGGTCGCTGCGGCCTGATTTTCGGTCAATTTTGATTTCGCATGGAGAGGCATGTCCACCGTAAGCACGCGTTTGGAGCAGTGTGCCTCGTCGGGGTCAATTGGTAATCCAAGTAGGACCTAATATCCTCCCCAATCAATGTGGAGTTTGGCTGTGCCTCGTCGAGAGACGTCCCATAAATCATTGGCCATCAATCCCGTTGGTCCCCAACCGCCTCCGTAGTGGCTAGAGGGCAAGATGCCTCCCTTAGTGGGGGTCAACCCTGGAGACTTCAAAGTGGATGACTCGAACACAGGGAGAGATGG